TGCAAGCCAAGTGCCATCTATGGAAGAAAGAGGAAAAGAGAACTGGAAGGAACACTTGAAAAAGTTGGTGGTGGTGGCTTTATTAGAAGTCCATGTGAAGGGTTGAGGCCGAGGGATCGGAAAGATGCAACCAGCAGTCTTGATGCATGTAAATCATCTTCTGAGGGGATGCCAACAAAAGAGATGAGGAAATCCTCAGGTGGCGTTTGGTTAGATGAAATCCCTTGAAATTGGTGAGAATTGGAATCTAATTCTATCACTTTCTCATGTTTGGTTCAAGTTTTTCAATGAAATTGGAATCCCTGATGGAATTCAATTCCAACAAATGAGGGAAAGTGAATTCCATCCAAAAATAGATGGAATTTAATTTCCTTGTTAGAGAGAATTGAAATTTGAGCATACTAATCTCATCAATCCTTTGGTAACTTATTCATATATTGAATAAAAATATTTTTTTATTATTTCGGTCGGGTCGGTTTCTAATTTATATATTCAGATCGGGTCGGATCGGATCGGATTTTTTTAAGTGTGATATTCGGGTCGGGTTCGAGTTTAGGGTGAAAAAACCGGGCCGACCCGAAAATATATATAATTCAGGTCGGATCGGATTAAGTCACTTTTTTTATTAAATAAAAATATATTTTTATTATTTCGGGTCGAGTCGGGTTGGATTTTTAATTCATATATTTGGGTCGGGTCGGATGAAATTTTATTTTGTTCGGGTCGGTTTTTTAAGTGATATTCGGGTTGAGTCGGGTCGGATTTTTTTAAGTGTGATATTCGAGTTGAGTTGGGTCGGATTTTTTAAAATTTGATATTCGGGTCTGGTCGGGTTCGGATTTAGGGTAAAAAAATCGGACCGACCCGAAAAAAATATATAATTTTACCTTATATATTTATGAATAATTACAATAATACCCCTCTATATATAATTTGTTTTCAATTAAGTCAATGTTTTTATTGAATAAAAATAATTTTTTTATTATTTTGAGTTGTGTCGGGTCGAGTTTCTAATTCATATATTGAATAAAAATAGTTTTTGGTATATTTTTTTGTAACTAATTAACATACTCCGATTGGAATGTATCGAAATATTGCTCTATCTTTTAGTAACTTATTAACATATTTTGATTACGATGATTTTAACTTATAATGTTTATTAGTATTATTTTTATAATTTATTGAAATGAATAATTAATCAATAAAATGAAAATTTAATATTTTTTTAATTTTTTATAATATATTACTACATGTAAGTTGTAAAATAAACTAAAATAAAGTAAAAAAAAAGAATGGTAATTTTGTTATTTTACATTACTGAAATCAAATTTATCTGACATGTCTGCGAACTAAACATAATATGAAATTGGATTCCAATTTCATTTCCTGTCAATCAAATAGAATATGGAATTGGATTCTAATTCGTACAGATTTCAATTCCTTTACAGATTTTAATTCTCTCATACACATTTCAGCGAATCAAACGCTACCTCAGTTCATTCCTAGGGTAAGAAAACAATAAGAAAAGGGTCTCATGGATGTGACCTGAAAGGCTGCCATATGAGTTTCGAGACAAAGGACGAGTTGAGGTTGCACAAACGGAATCGGTGTCCGTACGATGGCTGTGGAAAGAAATTCCGTTCCCACAAATATGCAATCCTTCATCTACGAGTCCATGATGATGATAGGCCCCTCGAGTGCCCATGGAAAGGTTGTTCCATGTCATTCAAGTGGGCATGGGCTAGGACTGAGCATATACGGGAGCACCGGAGAACGCCCATACAAGTGCAAGGTTGAAGGCTGTGGCCTTTCTTTCAGGTTTGTGTCTGATTTTAGCCGGCATAGACGAAAAACCGGGCATTCTGTGGACTTGTCACCCTGAAAGTTTGCCATTATGGTTAGGCTTCATCTGTAATGCACCAGGGCATGAGTTCTGGGGCCGTAACAGGTCTACCAAACTCGAAGATTCTGATTAGGCATAGGTTAGGACTAAACTGATCCTTTTGTAGATTGGCATTCTCCAAACATTTGAATGCTATTAAGAGTGGAAGATCCTTCTCCGCTTCTGTTTCCTGTCATTTGTGTTATGACAATACTTTCTGGTAGAAATTAATTACTCCCCGATTTTTCATTTTTTTCAACACATAATTCAGATGTAAATTATGTAAGATTATGATCCTCCAAAAGAATATTCAACTGATTGTTCATTAATTAGTTTTGAGTTAGTTTTATAAGCAATTTAATTTATTAATAATGAAAATTTCATGAAATTAATTTGCTAATGATAAAAGTTCAGTCCGATAAAAAATAAAACTCTGAATTAAATCCATTTTTCATTTAAAAAGCAGATGGGCAAAAGATCACAGTAAATCTACACACAAACTTCTGAAACAAGCAAATACAAATATAAGCTGAAACATTAAAACCAAAAAAAAAAAACCTTCTGAAGATTATCTTTCTGTCTTTGATTAACTGAGAATCCAACTAAACACACACAGAAACTCCGCCATTTATTTCACTCACATATAACAGCTAAACATTGGCATTCTGATAAGCTTGAAGATGAATACCGGTAAGCCTGCAAATCCTACATTCAGGCAAGACTTGAACACCCATTTGTTCATAAAACTTAATGGCATTTACATTCCAATCCTAAACCATCCATTCAACTCTCCCGTACCCCATTTTCACCGCCTGCTTCGCCACCGCCGACAGCAACGTTTTCCCAAACCCTTTCCTCCGATAGCATTCCCTGACGAACAAGTCATCAATATAAAAACCTGGTTTCCCCAGAAATGTCGAGTAGTTTGGGAAAAACAACGAACCCAACGATTGTAACTTGATCATTTCCATAATGACCCGCAAAAGCATCTTTTTCAGGGTCGTCTAAGGGGAGGTCGAAGTAGAAAGTTTTCTCTATGGGGGCGAAAGAGGGGGAAGGGGAAAAGGAAAGTTCGAGGAGGAAAATTGTGAAGGACTGGAAAGCAGGGGAGTTGAAAAGGGTGGAAGAGAGGGAGGATTCCGTGGCGTTGAAGAGGTGGGTCAGCTTTTCAAAGACGGCCATTTGGTGGATTAGTTTGTGGATGAAAGGGACGTCTAAAGGGGTGGCTAGGCGGATCCTAGTGAACACAGGGCGGCCTATCGGGGTCGTTCCCGAGGGAGCCATGGATGGGTCCGGGACATCGGATGATGGCGGCGGTGGAGCTGCGGCTGCCATTGGATTCGGAGGTGTTCGTGAGTGAAAAGAGAAGTGAAAATTTTGGAGGGCTCTAGAGCGTGCGATGTGGGGATTTTAGGGAAGGAATTTGTAAGCGGTGGGTTTTGTGATGAATATGTAATTTTAGTGAAACAAAAAGGGTATTTGTCACAACATATTTTAAATAAAAATAAAAAAACTTAAAAACGTTAACAGAATTATAATAACAGTAAACTACATATTTAGTCACCCACCTATTTCACCGTTTCGTTTTGGTCATTAAACTAATTTTTTCAAAACCATACCTAACGTTATGTCTTAATTTCATTTTAATCACTCACCGTATTGATGTGTTACCACAACATAATGGCACATCATCATTAAAAATTTATCATGTCAATAGTATTATTTATTTATTTAATGAAAAGTGATCAAAGCAGAATTAAAACATAATACTAAGCATTATTTTGATAAAACAAATAGTTTGATTACCAAAATGAAAATGAGAGAATAAGTGGAATACTAAATAAGTAATGTAACCTATAATAAATTATGAAAGAAAAGAGAAAAAATAAATTTCCAGCAAATTTCAGCTTTTCATTGGAACCGAGGTTGACCTATGAACCGTCGAGGTTTTTTTTATGGGTAAACGATACCTATGACCACTTAATTATCATCTCTTTTCACTTTGATCATCTATCTTTTAATTTTGTCGATTATATTATCTAATTATTTAATTGTTATTAATCAAGCTACTTGACATTAACATTTAACATAGAATGTGACGTAGGAGTTAAAAACTTGATATAATTACATATTTGGTCATTATTACTTACATATTAGATCAATTTAGTCATAATTTTAATAAATTAAAATAAATTTAACCCTCAAATCATATGGTATCATAGATCACTGCTTCCAATTGTCGAATAAATTAAAATAAATTGATAGAATGTATTAAAATAAGAATAGATTTAATCCTCTAATCAAATGGTGACACGTGGCTTTACATTTGACATCAGTAACACGTGGTACCATTTGATTTAAGGATTAAACTTATTTTATTTTTTATTAAAATGAAGATCAAATTGATAGAATATGTAAATAACAGTAACCAAATGTATAGTTATACCAAATTTTTTTAACTAGCATGTCACATTCTCCGTTAAATGTTAACGTCAAATGACTTAATTGATTACAATTAAATAATTAGATGATTTGATTGATAAAAATTGTCATAGGTATAATTTACCTTTTTCAATGTAGCGGTTTTGTATTTCCGTTGATGTCGTGTCTTCGTAATAAATTTAAAATTTAATATCGTATGCAATTTTTGAAAATTTGGTATTTGAAAAATTATTCAAATATAATTTAATGATTTTTTATTTTATAAAAACAATGACAAATAAGACATTTATTTAAAAAATTTCGTTATAACACATTCTATTAGGATGAGTTAAGAGCAATAGATGCACCGAATGGCAAGATTTTTCCAACCTTTTTTCTTAAGAGAGAGAAATTACCTCCAATTGTGAAATGATTTGTTGTTTTACTGGACAATCTTGCGCAAAATGCTCTACAAATCACATCAGGTTGGCAATAGCAATCTTTCGGTGTAAGATTTTGAATTTTTTTTCTCTTCATATTTCTAGTTCATAGATAATCAAAGAAACGTGGTAGGTTATAATTTAACTAAAAATCAAATGACATTTTTGTTACATTAAACAAATATATTTCTAGTTCAGATGTAAATGATCTAAAATACATTGTTCAAGTTTGGTGTTCCTTTAATAAACAAGACTCAGAAATCTCATCACTTTTATATTTCCCTTTTTAAATGGCTCCCTTTCCAGCTAAATCATCGAGAGTTAGATTCAGGGTATCAACAGAGCCTTTCTTCACTTCTTCGCCACGAGCAGCTAGATAATCCTCTATGCTTCCGGGTTCACCAAACCACCCAAGCCGATCGGCGATCAGATGTAAATTATTACACCCTCCACATCTTGCCACCACCACACCTTTCTCATACGATTCACGGCAAGCTGTCTTAACAGATCGTGTTTCACAGACTTTGCACGTAAATATCATCGCAAGATCGTGCCTTACCGATGTTTTCAAGTTAGATATGGCAGTATGCTTCACGGCAGAACCGTTCGTCTCAGAAGGTACATTAGCCAAGCAAGAAGCAGGATTTACACTGTCAGCTTCTCGAATCTCGGTGTTATCATTAGCCTGGCCGGAAGGATCGGGTTGATTCTGGAGCCATCTTCTAAAAAAGTCATACCTAGTGCCCAAGGATACACTTGCAGAGGATGGTGCTGGTGAAGGAGGTTCTGTCAGCAAAGAGTCGACACTCAGAACTAGAAAGGCAAAAAGAATTGCAACCTATGGTCTCCGAATCTTCATTTCTCTTATAAGTACCCAAGTCCAACACATTTTAGGACAAGAGTACTGGGATGTGACCACCCCTAAAGAGCCTCTTTTTATATGGAAAAACTTAAACAACTGAACACATCCGTGTCAGACATATATCCGTATCCGGCACTCACCCCCATGTTTGAGTAACATAGATTGTATGGTACCAGGACCGACATGTGCAACTGCTAATGCAATGAGTTTGTGCCTAGTTCACTATCACAAAATGGAAAGTCATGCAAGTTGGCAGCCAGTCACAAATCAAGTTAGATCTCACCATCTCTGAAATTTTACAGACCTTCAATCTTTGCACAAGCATCGAAGTAATATATATACGCACATATATATGTACATGTATGAACTCAAATTTATATTCCAATATTTTTTTCATACATTGTGGGCAAAAATGGGAAGGGAGGGGGTATAAGCTTATGTTACTCAGACCCGAGTGTGAGTGTCAAACACTCATCCGAAATGGGTACATTCATTGTTTTGAAGATTTATATATTTGGAGACTCCGTGCATCAACTATAAGTGTCAAACATTGGTACATCAAGAAAAAGGAAGAGTAACATAGGTTATAGGCTATGGCCAATGTGTATAACTTTCTTGGCATAACTAATGACAAAAGAAAAGAAGGCCTAAATTCTCATCGATCAGAAGACTTTAAAGTTTAAACATGACAACGAACATACATAATCACTTCATTATCCACTACTAAATCATTAACTTGTTTTGATTTTCAGCTGTCATTCCTCAAGGGAATCTACTAAATGCGTAGGATTGACAAAACCATGGAAACCCCTTTAATTCAGCTAGAAAACATCCTTCCAAAGAAAACATCAGTCTGTTACACTAAAATAATTATTACCATCTCAACTCCCCGAAAATATTCTAACGCAGAAGAACTAAACCTTAAACTCTGAACAGCTAGTTCTCATCAAAATCGTTAGCACTAGATCTTTGAATGAAAGTCCCGGTGAAATTTTCTAAATAACAGATTCCTACTTTATTTGCATAAGCAAAGATTTGAATTTTGATTGGTGAAACCAGCCAATGAGCTAAATACAATGAACCATTTAGGCCCCTAGCTGTAAAGAAGTGTCTATGTACAACACCTGCATCTATACAATTCAGAACTAGTAATTGGTTTGAATTATTTCCTTCATAACGTATAAGCTAACATTTGCATAAATCGAACTTAGATTCATCACAATCACACCTGTATTCACAATTCCCTGGCATTAAACTACTCAAACCTTTAGTTTTATATCCTCTATCCTGCTATGCTATCATATAACAAGACATGCTTCCCACTGAAATACCCGTGTCACCCATGTACTTGATACATAAATGACCCTCTAGCTCTAAGGAACCTCTCTAAATACATGGGAAAACTAGTAAAAATTGAGCATGCATATACCGGACTAGTACCTATGTCCAAAACTCACACCCGAATTCGAATAATATAGCTGCTAACTGTTCTATCTTACCATACTGTTTTGAAAACATCGTATCAGGAAAAAAATTCACAGCACAAGAAAAGATCAAGATTTTCAATCTATTTCAATGCCTTTCATTTCAAAACATGCTAAAAAATGCAAGACGGGGAAAACCAAAAGTTTATCTTTAGAAATAATACAAACCCAAATTTTCTATTGATTGGAAGTGCTGACACAAAGCCAAAGCAACCCCCAAGGCCCCAATTTGTAGAGTTACATTAAACCACACCACAGTTTCAGCTCATATAAATAAAACCCTAGTAAGAGAAACAGAGAAAGATAAAACTAATGTAAATAAATAAGAATTCACCTTTGAAAAGAGAGGTTTGAGGCTGATTTCGAGCAAGAAGAGAAAGAAGCCGCCGAAACTGAGGCATCTTTAGCCGAAAGACGCGAGAGAACGGTTTGAACCCGACGAATCCGAATTTGGAATCAGGGTTTTATTGAAATGAGCTTTTAGAGGTGTAAAAACCCTACAAAGTCTAAAAAAAAGTCTCTAAATTCTTTTTATATCTAATTAAATTTTTATAATGAAAATTAAATTAATAAAATATTTGAATAATAATAATAATAAAATAATAATACTCTGTTACATTAATTGATATAATATTTTAACATAAAGAAAACATTAACTTGAAATCATGTAACAAAAAATGACGTTATAATGAATCTAAATTTAACAAAACAAATAAATAATGGTCTTAGCTTAGCTATGGATGATTAAATTCTACTCATAAATCGAAAGATTTTGTAGATGCTTATTGGCATGTAGTTAAGGTAAGTTTTCTTGCATGAATATTTATCTACAGTGTGTTTAGTCATGCTGGGATTCATTATAAGATATTGTCAAAATATATTAAATGGGCTTCACAAATATTTACTTTTTAAATAATTCGAGATAATTTTCGTAGATATTTTACTTCAATAATTCATCTAACTGTCATTTTTGTAGTTGTAATAATTCATGTATGCCTTTTTTTTAACTCTTTAATGACTCATTATTTTTATATTATTTTTTATAATAGACTGAACGATTATAAGATAATATATATTTAGGATCGTTTTAAATTGAATTAAGATCAATCAAAATTTGGGCTTGATTCGAGTATTAAAATTTTAAGATTTTGAATTAAATAATTTTGAGATCCTAGATTAATCGTAGAAATTAATCTTAATAAGCTCAAATTTAAATATAAAATCATATGAAAATTGAAAATTACAGTTTACTTATATAAAAAATAGAATAAATGACATTATACAATTGCAAAAGCAATATGTAGTGTCAAATCTTCTAACACGTTCTTACAATTTTCTTACATCTATGTTCTAATAGTTTGGAGTGATTATAAAGTAATATATGTTTATAATTTTCTCAACTATTAATAATGTGTACACACCATGCAGACATAACTGCTCGGATCCAAGATCCTTAGAGAGAATAATATTCTCTTTTACTACTAAGACTACTTGATGAGTTCATAAAGGTTAAATATTTAAAGAATTAGAAATGTTTGAATAGTATATTTTGAAGTTATAGGTTGTTGTCCGATGGGAGTTGTCGTATCTTGTGGATGACTTGTCATATTTTTTTTAAAAAAATTGATAGGATAATTTGAAATATGTCATTCATTAATTATCGTAGTAATTGTTTGAGATATCTGTCAAAAAAATCATCGTCATAAGAAGAAGACTTTCAATTGAAAAGAAATAAAAAAAGTCAACATCAAAAGACGACTTTACATCAAAAACTTCTCGGACACATGACAACTTTCAAATTAAAATAAAAGATACAAACATTAAAAATCGCCTACAAAAGATGACGACTTTTATCATAGACATTACAATTTTATTGCGTACTATTCAGACATCTCTAATTCCTTAAATATTTAACATTCATTCATATACCCTTATTTTTTCTTAATATATAGTTTTCATCATTTTTATCTGGCGAAGATAATCAAACTAATAGATATATTTTTCTTGACACAATTACATTTTGTCTAGACCGTTAAAAAGGATAAATTGAAATGCCCACGATTTTAAAAAATAAATGATAGACATGTTAAATTAAATTTATAATTTAAGTGATTATAAAATAATATTTATTTATATTTATTTTTAATAATTGACAATGTACATACACCACACAAACGTATATATTCAAATTTACGACCTAAAAAAATATAACACTCCTTTTAATCAAGATTATTCAATAAATTATTCTATAATTAATTTTATCTATAAATAATTTATCATGAACTCTAAATAGACCGAACTATATATTTCATTTGATTTAGTGCGAGACACGAATTTCTCACATTTGAAGTTATGATAAATTATTCAAATCAAAAGTAAATATTGAATACAATAAATGTCCGATATAGATGGTCTTTGGTTATGACTGAAAAGAGAAATATTTCATGAATTCCTAGGATCTGCTGCACTCCTATATCTATCCATAAGTTTCAAGATACACAAAACACAGACACTGAGTTTTCATTGCAGAACATAAGTTGGGAAAGATCCTGACAACCAAGAGTTCTGACTATAACAATACATTAATGTACAAGGGAAAACCTCTCTAAAACTCGACTGTGAGTACCAAATATAAGTGTATATCTGTTAGTACAACAAAATAAAGAATAAGTAGGAACTTAATTTGAAACGATTATGTATCAAAAGCTCTGCAAAAAATTACCTCAAAGTTCAAATTTCAATATTTACGATCCGTCTTATATGGAAAACATCTCTACCACAAAATGATCTCAAATCTGTATAATATTCACAATGTGTACAAATATCAATTGCTTAAAGGCATCATAATGGCTTACTTCTATGTTGCTCCATCTTTCTGCAAGTATTTGAATCCGAGTATGATCTTACAAAAACCTCCAGATAAAAGAAAAAACTTGAACATACTCTTGACCGTGGCAATGCCGACACAAATCCGAGGCTCATCGTCAAAACTGAGTAAAATATGCTCTTATTCACCTTGGAGCAATTGAGACTGAGATATCAGTAGGTAAACCAATATTGTCAGCCCAATTCTTAGACTCCAAATACAACTTTGAAACCTGCCCTGCAACTTTGTTCATATCAGGCCTCTTCTCTGGATCTTCCTCACAACATTCCAATGCCACCAACACCATCTTCTCACCCGCTTCCACCGGAAAAGAGTCCTTCAACCTCCTATCTATCCATCTTCTCACCCCTGCACTGCCAATGGCCGCTGCCTCCTTAGCGGTGTCTATAACACTCACTCTTTCGTACCCTCCAGTCTCTTCATCCACCAAGAATTTCAAAGCCTCCTCTCCACTCAAAAGCTCCAAAATCACTACCCCAAATGCATAAACATCACATTTTTGAGTCACCAAACCAGTAAATTGAAGCTCAGGTGCCATATAACCCCTTGTTCCTTCAATTTTCACAACTTTACTTTTTGATCTTCCAAGAGTTTTCGATGATCCCTCGTGTTTAGGCACTTCCCCACATAATCCAGCAGTGCCAAAATGACAAAGTTTAGCCATTAACGAACCTTCGGCTACTAAAATACTTGTGATCTTTATGTGGTTATGAATGAAGCTAGTTTCGAGACCCGAACAATGGTGAATATAATCCAATCCATGAGCAATATCAGTAGCAATTTAAATACGAGAAATCCAAGAAGAAAGTATGGTAAAACTTGGGTTCTTGGGATTCCTTAAACAATCTCCAAGGTTAACTCCTTGCACATATTCATAAACAAGATAAATATAATTCCCTGACAACGAAACACCCAAAAGCTTGATTAAACTACTATGGTGACTCTTACAAATCACTGACAACGTGTGAACCAAGTCAGCTAACTCGATTGAACGTCTCATTTTCCTTTGGAAAATGACAACTTGTTTACCTTGAAGGTTACAGAGCCATGAAGATGATGCCGAAGACGATGAAAAGCGTTTCGACCTGAAGTTATTGGTGGCCGAGCAGATTTCTGAGAAATCATAGATGTGGGGATTTTCAGGGAGAGAATCTCTGATCGATGAGATATTTTTGGAGGTCTGGGTTGAAAATGAGTAATTTGAAGAGTTGTTATCGAAGTAGCTTGAAGAAAGAACTGAATTGTTGGTCATGGAAGTGGCACTGGAAGATGGTTCAGACAAATAAGATGAAGATTTCGAGGATTTTGAGGTTTTGGGTACTCGGGATAAATTCGATGATCTTTGTCGGACTACATCTGTGCTCTTTTTTGATCTACACATTAGGAAAGAAAAATGAAAACTTTTTCTTGTTTTTCAAAAAGAAAGATTGGGTTTTTGCAAAGAACTGCGGGGGATTATCACTATCAGGTGGGAACTAGTTGTTCGGGGCGGTTGTGACGGCGATGGAGGTGGTGGTAGGAAACAAAAGGGGAAACCTACATGTTCCTCTGTTTAGGCGTGTATTGTTCGATGTTAGATTTGCAGTGTTGTCTATTATCGAAACGTTGGTTTATACTTGGAAGAAGTATTTCAAATTTCAATTTCTTCTTCCGTGACTGCAGGATTTCTTCGCTACGAAAATTTTGCCACTGCTTAGTGTTCAATGGATTTGTTTAATTTTTTGGTTTAGGGTTTGGTTTATTTTTTTGAATTAATATTAAATTTTTGGTTTTGGTTTAATTTTTTGAATTAATATTAAATTTATAAATCATAATTTTTTATGAATAAAGTTATTATTATATTAAATCATGTTATTATTTCGTCTGATATTAAACGATTAATAATTTATTTATAACAATAATTTGGGTAAACTACATTTTTAGGGTGTTTGCATTTTAATCACCAACTTTTAAAATTTGTAATATAATTACTAAACTTTTAGTTTGTTTTCAATATGATCTCTGACCTCCTGTTAATTTTATTTAATGTGACACGTTACTGTTATTTTTTTAATTTAATAATATAGTTCTTTTAACCCATTTCAGCTTAGTATAAAATTTTCTTATGTTAAAATTAATTGAAAACCCTAAAAATCAAATTATGACTAAAATTTAAAATCAATTACAACTCAATATATATTTTTGGGTGCCCTACTGGGACAAAAATCACATTGAATATGGAAAATAATAACTCCAGAATATGAAAAGTCTCTCAATTTCAAATTCCAAAAGAGTTAAACAAACTTCAGACAATTGAGTAACACATGAATCAAATCAAAAATAAATTTTCCAAATACATCAAAAATAACAATTTATTGTTGCCACACTTGAACAAACCTTCAGTTGAGTTATTCTTTCCCTCATTTTCATCCATCAACGGTTGATAATCTAGAAAAAGAAACCTAAACCAGAAAATTCAAATTAAACTTAATTTATCTAAATCATTTGATCGGTGAAAGAGTTTTAAACCCTTTTAACATTTCCCATATTTAATATTACGTCGTTTGGGAATATTTTTTTAACTTTTCCAAAATTTTATATGACGTCGTTTGG